TGATATGGTTGGATTAATATCTACCATGTTTGTAATTGTTTTTACTCAAGGCACTTGTTCTTTGCTTCCTTTTTTATCTTGTTCTCTTTGCCTTCTGTTTTCATTGAGCATTTCATATTCTATTTTCTGTCCTCTCTTAGCATATCAATTATTAAAGTTTTTAGTGGTTTCCCTAGGATTTGCAAAATACATTTACAACTAATCTACATACCCTTTCAAATAACATTATAGGCAGTGCAGGTACCTTATAACAAAGTATTTCTAATTCCTCCCTCAATAGCACTGCTGTCAGTCATTTCATTTATCCATATTTTTAATCATTCATTACATTATTATTGTTACCTGAAATAGTTATCTATTAGATTAGGAAGAAAAATGAATTATTTTACCTTTATTTATTCCTTTTCTAATCCTCTTCCTTACTTTATTTAAGATCCATGTTTTGGGCATATCATTTTCCTTCCCTCTGAAGAACTTTAAACATGACACGAAAAGTAGGGCTAAAATTGCTTCAGTTTTTGTTTGAGAAAGTCTTTATTTCTCCTTCATTTCTGAAGAAGAATTTTTCTGGATACACAATTCTACACTGTTTTTTTTTTTTCTTTCAACACGCAGTATTTCATTTCACTCTCTTGTTTGCATGATTTCTCATGAGAAGTCTGATATAAGTCAGACTTATATAAGTAAGCTGTTTTTTTCCCTCTGGCTTCTTAGAAAATTTTCTGTCTTTGGTATTCTACTGTTTGATTACGATTTCTTAGGTATGGATTTTTGGGTATTTATCGTGCTTGGTACTGAGGTTCCTGGATCTATGTTTTGGTGTCTGTCATTAATTATGGAAAATACTCAGCTATTCTTTCTTAAATTATTTTTTCTGTTTCTTTTCTCTTTGTAACTGTCTCTAGAGTTCTTGGATGTTCCATTCTTTTTTTTCTCTTTGTGACATTTCTATTGACCTATCTTCAAGCTCACTGATTCTTTCCTTGGCTGTGCCCAGTCTACTGATGAGCCCATCAACATTATTCATTTCCATCACAGTATTTTTAATTCCTTAGAATTATTGTTAGAGTGAGTTTCCACTCATGTTACCCATCTGTTCTTGTATGCTGTCTACTTTTCCCATTGGTGCCTTTACCATATTAAATTCCCTGCCTAATAATTCCAGTATTTGTGTAATATCTGAGGGACTGCTTCGTTTTGTCTCTTCAGACTGTAGTATTTTTTTTTTTGAAAGCGGGACATGATGTATCAGAACTGAAGTAATTAGACTTTGAGGTTTCGTGTTATGTTATTCTAGCTAGGAGCTGGGCTGTATTTAATGTTTGCTGTAGGTACAAGAGCTTTCAGTTCCTCTAGTGTCCATTTTTCTCCTTTGTTGTCTTTGGGTTTTCCTAAGGACTCCCTAAGTAGCTTGGTCCTGCAACTCTCTCAGTTGTAAGCCACTGTTGTTATTACTGGAGGCCTGTTTGGTAAGATGCTGGGGAGGTGATATGTTTTTATAATCTTTAATTAAATCTCAGATTTTTCTCTCATCTTCACCATAAGGACATGGTGGAGTTTCCACAGGCTAGAAAATTTCTGGGGTAAACCCAAGACATTGTGGGGACCCTGGGCGTTTTTTAGCCCTGAAGCTAGTCCTTACTCAGCTTCCAATAATTCATTAGAGTCACTAGCTCCAGTGGCTTCTGTTGTTCTAGATGGTTTGCCTTGTGACCTCAATTCTTTGATGGAGCTAAGAAAAGTCATGGGTTTTCTTGTGATTTTTCAGTTTCTGGAACTTTTCCTTGTGATATACACAGACATGTTTGTTTGTTTGCATTTTAAAAAATTGTATTTCCTTAGATAAAACATTTCAGTTTGTCTCTTCAAACGTGTCTAATCTGCTTTTAGATCCATCCCTTGCTTTATTTCCATGCATACTAATTTACCAGGTTCTGCAACTGCTGTCAAAGGGAGTGTACCTCTATTGGTTCCTGCATTCACCAACTTTTAGAAAAAAGAACCTATGATATGTACTAGTTCAATTTACTTATTAATGAAAAAAATACATATAGCTCAGTGAGTCCAAAGTCTCTAGCTAGCAATGATCATTTAGGATTTTTTATTTACTAGGTTGTCTTGCTTTGATTGAAAAAAACAACTTTTTGTACAGCAAAGATAGTATGAAAGCGTTAAGCTAGATGTATGCTAAATAGATGTATTCAGCCATTGACTCAGTATTTTATAAAAAATATGTAATTTTTATTGGAATAGTCTATAACATCAGCTGGTTCACAGCACAACTGGGAGAAGGTATAGAAATTTTCCATACACCTCTTGCCCCATACATGGACTGACAATCCCCCAGCACAGACATACATTTATTACAACTTACAGACATTCTATGGGTTTGGACAAAATGTCATGACAGGTATCTAACATTACAGAAAATACAGTGTTTTCACTGCCTTAAAAAATCTTTGTTGTGCCTGTTCATCTCTCCCTCCTAACTCCTGGTAACCACTGATCTTTTTTACTGTCTCTACAGTTTTTACCTTTTACAGAACGTCATATGGTTGGAATCATACAGTAGAGAGTTTTTCACTTAGTAATATACAGTTGAATATACATTTAAGGTTCCCTCCATGTCTTTTGAGCACTGAATAATATTCCATCATCTGGATGTACCACAGTTTATCCATTCACCTACTGAAGGACATACTGGTCTTTGCTAGCTGCAAATAATCTCACTGAAGTTATACCAGTCACTTTAAACAACTTTGAAGATTGTGAAATAGAATAACAGTCCAGCTCCAAGCTGCGTTAACTAATCCCTCAATATTAACTAATAGTAGGGATGTATCTTTTTGTCCTGTAAGTTCTTATACACGGAGGTGCTTGTTATGGCACTGAAACTTCTGACCCAATAACAGTGCAGTAGAGAAATCACTGTAGTTGACTTACTTTCTCCATGTCTCGTGCTCAAGTCTGCACAACCCCCGTGCAGCTCATATACCTATTTGTCTTATGAATCTTGGTATCTATCACTGTGCCTTTCTAGAGTTTTACATCTATGAAAATCATTTACTAGACTTAGTGTAATTATTAGTACTATGTATAAACCCTGTTTTGAGACTCTCATATTTCATGCTTTTGACATATATATAGAAGTAAATAAGTGTTATACCAACCTGAAGAGAGAAGCAGTAAGGTTTTCATGCAGAGGTACTCTTCATAAGATACCTGAAGCCTTTTTAACTCAGAGGAAACATATAGCATATGTTTACATTGCTCATACATGTAGGGTAGACTCATTCTCTCCCTGTGAAATACAAACATCAAGGTGTGAGTTAGAAAGAAATAGTGCTAGTTCCAAAAAAAAAGTCTTTTTGGTTTTATAAAACTATGAACTCATAAAGGAAAATATAGCTACTGCTAGTCGTGCTAATTCCCTCTAGAATCAGAATCTGGATCTAGAGTATCTAAAGAGACTAATGAATAATCTATATTGGAGACAATATTTCCTATCATGCATGCCAGGTATTGTTCTATTTACTTTTATCATCAGTTGCTCATATAATTTTTTTCTCTACTGAAGATGTGGTTTATATGATAAATCAGACACAAATCATATACCCGCAAAAATGATCCTGGACAAGCTCCCTTGGCTTTTATTTTTTGGGACAGGGTCTCACTCTGTGCCTGGGCTTAAGCAATCCTTAGTCTCTCAGGTAGCTGGGACTATAGGCACATGCCACCATGCCCAAAGAGGCACCTTCCCAATCCCCTGATGGTAATGAAAGCACTCCTTTTCTGGGAGATATCTTTTTCTCCTTTAGTTTCTTGTACATGGTTAGAATCCTCATAGAACTGAAAATTTTGACAGTTATAGCGTAGTAATCATTCTCTTTGGCTGTAACAAAAATATTTGTCACAACATTCTGACCTAAGGTCAACCATGAGAAGCTGTTTTACACCTACACGGAGGGTCAGAACTTAAATGTATACTTGCCTATCACAGACATCAAAGCAGTAGGAAACACCGTGGGCTAAGAAAAAAGACGGGGCAGCCTGCCCATCTCATACATGGCAACATAACACAAGAATGGGAAGAACGACCTCTTCAAAACCACAGGGTGTCCCAAAAGTTGTCAGGGAAAATGTGTAGGCAAATTTTACAAAGGAAAAATTTGGTAAAATTTTGTAATGAGTATTTTGCAAATAAAGGTACATTTAGCTACAATTTCCTGTTTTCCCACAACCCATCTATCCTCCAGAGGAGCTGAGTCCTGAGTAAAAAATAATCCTTTAACAAAGACTCCTAATGAAAATGAAACTAATGTAAATCTGTTGAGGAAAAAATTTCTGTAATTCTCACTTTATGTAAGGAATGTATGTGGTATGACCAGGTTATGCTGTGACTGTTTAAAATCTAAATTTGTGTGCCCTAATAAAAACCCTGAATTAGATTACTTTATAGTTTTATAAATCTCTTCATGGTTTTAATTCCAATTAAATGACTTCAAATTGCTTATTAAACAGTAAATACGTCAAAGAAAAATGGTTGGATTCATTCTGAAATGAGTAACAGTGTCTTGCGTTTCCACTGAAGCTAGATATATTTACTAGTTAATTTTAAAAATTGGAACAAACAACCTGACCTTGTTAGAGTCCTCTTTTGTCAATAGATAATCAATGTGACTTATTTACTAACTCACGTATTTGTCAGAGAAAGTGACTGTGTAGAGGTGTGCTCTGGTGTGAAGCACATGGTAGTAGTGCCTACTAGTTGAAGGCTGAGATACGGCCCCTTCTTGAAATGCAAAGTGATCAATTATCTATTTCACATGCCTCTTCATAATGCTGCTCACTGTGAAGTCTGGTTCTTCTTTCAGGTCTCAGCTCAAATGAAACCTCCTCCAAGAAGTCATTACTCCTATCTGAAATGGACCTCTCTAGTAAAAACTATCACAATCTGAAATTATTTCATTTACTTGGTGGTTATCTGTATCCACCCCCCTGCAACATGTCAGCAACTAAAGGTCAGGAACCTTGTTTGTCTTGTTCTTTGCTGTAGTCCTGTACGAGATACATATTAGGAGTGGGATGAATGTTTTCCCCTCTAATCCATTCTGGCTTCTTTTTGTTCCTAAAATAAAATCTAAATTCTATTTAATGGCCTACAAGATTCTGCTTATCGGGGCCCCTGTTCACGTCTCTAAATTCATACTGTATCCTCAGTGGCCTTCCCTCAGTTTCCCAGACATGCAAAACTTGTTTCAACTCTTTGCACTAGTTGCACTAGTTTCTTCTTCCTGGAATGCCTTAACACCCTTTCATACAGCTTGTACCATTTATTCTTAAGAGGCCTTCTGTGGTCACAAAATCTAAAGTAGTATATCCACCACACTCTTTGCTCTTAGTCACACTATTAGACCATGGCTCTATGAAATAATTTTGGATATTTATTTGAATTCCTCTATCAGAATGTTAGCAGAGGCCTCATCTGTTTTGTTCACTGTTATAGTGTCTAGCACTTGGTAAGTATTCAAGTATCATTGCATGAATACAGTGCTAGAATTTTTTCAACAATGGAGAAGCACCACCAAGTTTAATTTAATGGTTCAACCAGGACTTTTAGACTCGTTTTAAACACAGCTAACCTAATAGAGGGGAAAACTGAAATCTATGCTTTAAGTAGTTCTTACTAGCCCTGCCAGATTCATCTGTGGCTTATTGCACACTGTCTATCTGGGGCTACTATCCAGTCCCTAATAAAACACAGTATAGGAGCTTACTACATCATAAGTCAGGCCCTCCCATTTAACATTCAGCTCAAATAGATGCTTTTCTGTAACTCCTAACCTGTATCCGGCACACCCAACAGGGAACACGTTTGCTATATCTTCACAGAATCTCTCTTTAGGCTGTCCTCATTGCTCTCAAATCTTTTCTCTTTCTCGAAACATACCATGTTCATCAACCAGTGTTAATTCCCAAACTCCTTGCCACTCTGAGCACATTTCAGTTTGCCACTGTTAATGTGGCACCCTGAAAACTACTAATGATGACTTTACTCATGTAGAATGCATGAATAAACAACTCTATTTCAAGTTTGCCCAGTTCCAAGATACCTGGTAGGATTGATTCAGTCCTGAATTATCACAATAGCAGTCCATCAGGAAAACATCAGCTATACTCTATAAATTCAGGGAAAATGATTCACATACAACTTACTCATTAATAATCAGATCAGGAGCAAAACACAGCATGTTTGCACTTGTCTGTCTGTATGATCTCCATCCCAGGGCAAATGCCATGAGAAACATCCATGAGTACTGCAGTAGGGTCATTTGGTCATCCAGGTGTAAGTTCCTGAATCCTGAATTAATAGAAATAAAGGTATGAGCCAACACTCTAATTGCCAAAAAGATGATCATCTCTTTGGGAACTGCCAAAGAACAATTAGACAATTAGTTTTGTTTTTGATGGACCCCTAACAGGTAAAGGAAATGAAATACTAAGTAGACACAGTTTTCCTTTGTCATCTGACACATTCATATCCCAGCCCTCCGTGTTTTTTTAATAGCAGTCAGTGTAAGTAGCCAGTTTTTGTCACTTTTGCCTACTTCAGTAAAATAGAAAGCCAAGAGTCTTGGCAGTTATCAGAAGCTAGGAAGGGTGGTGGAGAGGGGGAGATGCAAGGGCTTGGTTAATGGGTACAAAAATATAGTTAGATAAAAGGAGTACGTTCTAGTATTCAATAGCACAATATGGTACTATAGTTAATTTATTGTATATTTCAAAATAGCTAGAAGAGAAGATCTGGAATGTTCCCAACACAAAGGAATGATAAATGTTTGAGATGATAGATATCCCAATTATCATGCTTTGGTCATTACACATTGTATGCATCACAATATCACATGCCGGGCGCAGTGGCTCACGCCTGTAATCCTAGCACTCTGGGAGGCCGAGGCGGGCAGATTGTTTGAGCTCAGCAGTTCGAGACCAGCCTGAGCAAGAGCGAGACCCCGTCTCTACCAAAAATAGAAAGAAATTAATTGGACAGCTAAAAATATATAGAAAAAAATTAGCCGGGCATGGTGGCGCATGCCTGTAGTCCCAGCTACTCAGGAGGCTGAGGCAGTAGGATCGCTTGAGCCCAAGAGTGTGAGGTTGCTGTGAGCTAGGCTGATGCCACGGCACTCACTCTAGCCCAGGCAACAAAATGAGACTCTGTCAAAAAAAAAAAAAAAAAATATCACATACAACCCATAGAGGTACTATTATGTATTAAGAGTCCTGGCTTGGCATATTAATCAATGAATTTAAGTAAAAAAAAAAAAAAACTGTCCTGATATTCATATCTTTTTCCCCTCCTTGATAGTAAAGTCAGGGTTGACATTGACCTCTACCATCCATACCAAGTTTCAACAGGGAAACTTCTACTTAAAATTATTTTAAAAATTAGATTAAAATTTACATTCAGTGTACAGTATTTCATTAATTAAGAGTTAAAATCATTCTACTTTAGTACATTTTGACAAGTGAACACACTTGATATTTACCAATTTTATAAACAACCTGATTTTTAAAAGTGATACACTGAAGGAAAACTGATAGAATTAGATATACATTTTCTTCTCCTAGACTTCAGTGCCTTAGACACTAAAGAGACTTGAGTAAGTCTCCTAGACTTACTCAAAAGGGATTTTGAGTAAGTCTTGTAACTCTGGTTCTGACATTGCATCATCCTGTCTGAAATTACTGGGAGCAGTGTGTAAGTTTTATTATTGACTCCCCCTTTGCCCATTATTCACCTGACTCTCCCCTTCTTAGTCCCCAGAAGTAAGAGAAACGGTGTAAGCCACGGGATCAGGATGATAAAAAGTCAGAGTGTTTTTGTTCAAGAGAATACAAAGGTTTATATAGTAGCTCTGTGATCCTTTGCAACTTACCTGGTATCGCCTTTGCCCACTTCACTGCTGCAATTACTTGCCGCCCACCTAACATGTTGAGTGAGGTCATGAGCCTCCAAGTTGAATCTGGAACAGAGCTATCATATCCTGCATATAACACATCAGGTTCAATGACCTCCAGCAGTGACACCAGGGTAGGGGTGAGTTGTGGTAATGTTGCAGGAACTATTGTTTTGTTAGAAGGATTTTCAGAATTTTCTTGAGAGACCGCTGTTGTAGCCTGCTGAATTCCTTTTATTTTTTTCTTCGTTTTTCGAGCTGTGGGTATTAGAAAAATACATAGAAATGAGTTTTCATGGGAAGGTCTGGGCTATGCAGTTTATTTAAGGGGTATTCTTAATTTCTGAAACTATTAAGGCAAGAGAAATATTTTATTTAGCAATTATGATAAAGTGACATGGAAGAGAAGAAAAAAATGTTTTTTTCTGAAAGCAAAAGACCCATAAGACCCTGTTCCAATATTAATTTTCCTTACAAATAAGCCAGTAACTTCTTCATTATGGTTATACCTTATACAAAATAACTTTAACACTATGTTAAAACAATCTGAGTACATCACTTCTGTAGATTCCGCTATAAATTATTTTTTGCCTCACTTTCATTCTCACTCTAACTGAAAAATTTCATTGGTTATATAAGGCAAATTACTCTTACTATCAATTAAAAGAACCTAAGCTTATAATAGATTAGAAACTGCAGTTTAGGACCTAATTATGGTAGTATATATAATGAAGAGAGCAACACGATTTGTACAAAGCCACCTTCTTATCTAGATGGGAAGATGACAAAGCAGATTACATGCTAAAAACAGTGTTAGTTCTAACAATAGAAAAAACCTTTTTGTCTTTACATGATAGATACTGCTTGGGACTACAAACATTTGGGAGAGGAAAAGAAAAACTGTACTTCACATAAATTATGAGCGGGAAACATCCCTTTTGTAAAGAAGATTTATATTAAACCTAAAGCATCCATTATCATATTATATACAAAGTAAATACAGTTATCTTTTACCTCTGACTTTGTATGGAACAGTCCAATCAAATTACAGTATGGATTCTGTAGACTTTTTAGTAAACTTATCTGAAGTTATTTGTTTTAGTGACCAAATAAGAATTACATTATTCTCTTACAGGCAAAGCACTCAGAACGGTAAGAAAGGGCAAGAAGTATAGTTTCCATGAAAGATGAAATGTACCTGCTTCAACCATTTTGCAAAGGGAAAAGTGCTAATTATGTTTTAAAATAATTATTAGATCCTGTGTCATCCTAAAATGACATAATATATAGTTTGTGGAGGACAGATGTAGTAGTGGGAACCATATTTTAATGTCCACTGTTAGAAGGGAAGAGAAGCCTGTCGCTTACATTGAATAGAATGGTTTCATTCTCACTGTGTTCTGTGCTGAATGGGATATTGAGAAATTTAAGAATTTTTAGTGAATGTTTCACAACAGAATCACGACAGAACTGTGCTAATTTAGTTTACCATGCTCTCTTGGAGGTATAGTATGATATAGTAGTAAAGAACACAAATCTGAAATCAGCATGTTTGGATTTAAATCCTGGTTCTGCCATTTCGTAGCTGAGTATCTGTGTTACTCCTTGGGCTTTAAAATGAGGATAATATTAGTCCCTACCTCATCGGGTGGTTGTGAGAATTAAATCAATTAAATATGTAAAATGCTTACAACAGTTCCTGGCACACAGTAAGTACCATTGAGAACTACCATTACCTCAATTTGTAGGACAACGTGTTTTTAAATTCAGATAGTACAACTCTATAGAGAAGTGATAAAATTTTAAAAAGGAAGAGCTCCTATGCATAAAAAGTATCTCACTGAAACCCAGATCCAAAATCATGGAATGTACTTTGTTGACAATGTGAAAGGGAACATGTATGTCCCAAATCAATACACTGAAGTAGTAAGTACTGTGAAAACCTCCATTGACCATAACTTTAAATGATCTAGAATGCATGTTTCTACACTCCACGTTAGAACAAAGAATAGTGAGTGACAAGCTGGACAACTTTTTCTATGACTCAGTTTATGATTAATCTATATACCTAAATGAGAGAACTCATGCTTTTGAATAAAGCTTTAGAGCAAGATAGTGCTAATAAATTTTCAAAGTATCTTCAGCAAGGGGTTGTTAATAAAATTTTACTCTAATACATTCCTGACCCATTGGAGCATATTAGTAGACTAGCAATCAGTATTTGATCTCTACAGAAGTGTTCCTGAGTCTGTGATGACTCTTAATTCCTCCTTAATAGAGGTAAAGAAATCTTATTGAAAACTTAGTTTAAGTAATGTTAGGTAAGAAATCTGATAATGGCATAAGCCTACTTGCCCGTAAGTTCCATTTGACTGTATATACTAAAAATAAAGTTATACTTTGGAATAATTACAGTACACTTTAAAATGAAATGAAACATTGAGGATTTCTGTTATAAAACTTATCTGTTCTTAAATGCCAGGCCGTTTAAGCAGTGAAGAAGGCTGCCTTAGAAGGCTGCCTTAAAATAGATGAGATTTACTTGGTATGGGGCAACGGGATCAAAATACACCACTTACATTTAGGAAGAAACTTGAACTCTAAGAGAGCTAACTGATTGCCTCTGCAAAGTTACTCTGGGGCTATCATCGAAACTGCTTGGCTTAGGAAAAGCTCTCTGATGAACAAGAGAATATTTCTAAAGATTAAGTACAAAATGTATGGCTCAGTTATATTGTGGCACACATAAATACCTAGTCCAAATGAAGGTTTTATAATATACTGGGATTAATTCAAAACAAAAATGATGCTTTCACACTAAAACCACATACATACCCTATAAACTTAGATTTTTTTTTATTTCAGCATATTATAGGGGTACAGATGTTTACATATTAGATTTTTTTTAACAATTCCTTCAGTATGTCCAAAAAAAGAAATAAAAATAAAAGTGCCAACTAACACCCAATAATATTAAAAAATGATGCTTTCACACTAAAACCACATACATACCCTATAAACTTAGATTTTTTTTTATTTCAGCATATTATGGGGGTACAGATGTTTACATATTAGATTTTTTTAAGCATTTCTTTCAGTATGTCTACAAGATGAATTAAGATTATAAGTGCCAACTAACACCTATTATATTATGAAATGATAGACTAGAACTTTGTTTTACCATGTAGTATAAAAGTGGATATAAAGTTAATCATGGACCTATTCAAAAAAATATGAGGGTCCAAAATAACCTTAGTGGAAGAATGTATAGTAGAGACTGGCATGTGGTAGCATTTGACAAATGCTAATTTCCCCACTGTTCTGATATTGACAACTTACAAAAGCATACAATTGGTTGTATTTTTTAATACAGCATTTGAGAAATGGCAGCTCAGATTAAATTATATGCTTAAATTAAGTCTCACAGACTTATAACAAAAGACCCGACTGGAAATGGCAGTGATGGTATACTTGATAATAGAAAGTCAGTCACTTCTTGGTCATCTTCTAGTGAGGTAGGGGCAAAGGACGCTACAATTGTTATTAAACTATATGAAGGAGAAGAAAAAGGACAAACTGAGTAACCTAGTCCATCAGAATCATTTACTTTATGGTTGATATATCTTATTTCTTTTGACTGAAGAATTCCCTTATATTTTGGATAGGGAGGAATTGCCCAGAGAATCGTTATACACTTAAAGCTCCAAAGATCTTGAACTTGATATGTATTTGGGAAAGCACCTAAAAATGTTACTGCGTAAGCAACCATACTACATTAGAGATATGATAGAATTTTATTTGGCTTTATCCTTTGAGCTATATTGAAATCCTATTTCTAAATATAAAAAATAGCTGAGATGAAAACATGGCATTAGAGAAAACTAGTAAAACTGGGGCTGGAGAAAAAAGAATCAGTAAAAACTCATGTGCCTTAAATGGTCAAAAAATATGACATACACAGGAGATTAGAGAGCAACAAAATGAAACTTGGTAAAATCTAGGCAGAGATTTCCTATGTAAGAAAGTGGGGAATAATGTTGTTTTTATAACAAAAATAAACTACCCTTGTGGCACTGAAAGAAAACGTCTACGTAAATTTGTAATCTCTAGCTTTTGTAACACCTAACAGAAAAGTGGGCAGCTATGATTTTACTTAAATCAATGTTTACATGTTGGCACTCTATAGTCAAGTTTAAATAACCTGGTCAAACTTACATACAGCTGTTTGTGTGGTCTGGGGAATTAGACTCTTCACAGTCATACCCATAAATCGATTAACAACACACACAGTGTGCTAGATAGATAGCACCAACAGTTAGTATCTCCTGTCAAGAGAACCACATGGTTTCCATTCTCTCTCAACATCACCATCTCTCATCTGGATGACTGCTATACACATTTAGTTAGTCTCTCTATAATACAAATCTGATCATGTCTCTGTCCTTATTTTTCATCCTACTCAGCTTATAGGTTTAAAATTCAACATTACTTCTTCCCTGACTTCCCGGACAAAATTTGGTACCCGCCCTCCCTCTTGCTCCTGTGGCTCTATTCCTTTTATGATGTGCCAGGCTAGTTTGTGATTGACTCTGCAACCTAACTAAACAGTACAGTCCTTGAATACAGGCACTATTTTATTCATTTTATGCCTAGTGACTAGCTTGTTGGTGCATACTTGCTGAGTAAAAGCCCATCACAACAAATATTAAACACATGGATTATTAGATCACCACCACCATCTTCATAGACCCTGCAATTTCAACTAGAACAGAATACCAGACTTTTTTCAGAGGGAAGTTTGTAAATGGTGAGATCAATGTTAATTATACAAGTTGTTATGTAAACAAAGATACAAAACTCTAACTTATAACTAGTTTCAGGTTTCTTCTTAATAAACAAAACAAAGCCCTTCCAATGCTTCTCTGAGGAGTTTTTCTTTCTTTGCAGATCTATAATAAAACATGTATTTCTAAAAGACAGAAAAATGGACATGCAAATATACAGAAACATTTCCAGCCCTAGGAAATAGTTTTGAGGCTGAAGAAAGGAATAAGAAAGAAAAAGTTGCCTCATGTTGTACAAGTTTCATTATTACATAATTTCCTTTCTTGGTATATAGTCTGGCTGTACTGAATTCTCTGTGTAATAAGAACTGGTAAATAAACAGAATATGATATATTCATGAAAGAAATTCCTATTTTTATTGGGCAATAATATAAAATTATGCTAGTCAAGCAAATATATATGCTGAATTGACTGGATTATTGCATCTGCTTATTTGTATCTTCAAAAGTAAAATATTAAATTTTTATGTGATATAGAGAGAAAGAGTTGCTTTCAGGTATTTACATTACCTTCCAGATTCATTCCAGCTTGAAGACATTTCCTGTAGCGGCACGCTGGGCAGTTTTTTCTTCGAATTTTATCAATGATGCAATCATTTCTTCCAGCACAGAGATAATTGTGCTGTCCTATATGGAATAAATGGAACTGTTAAAATTTCACAAGTCTTAAAGGATATTTTTTATGGACAGCCTCTGTTTTTGTTTTAGATGGAACACAGCAGAGGCCCACACACAGGTATTGATGAGGGAAGTGTTCTTGCCTACATTGCCATCACAAAGTTGAGAGGTCAACTGAAAACCAAACACACACAAAAAAGACTTGTCTTTTCCATTCAACAAACTGAAAACAGTTCATTAAAAATACTTTACCGTAGTATACATACATAAAAGTACACAACTCGTAAGTGTACTACTCAATAAATTCTCACAAGCCAAGCACTCCGCCATGTAATCAACTCTCAGATCAAGAAACAGAAAAGTACCCCACAAACCTCCCAAACCAAATCACTACCCACCAAGGGTAACCATTTTTTTTTTTTTTTTTGACAAATTGTATTTTACTAACAGTTGCAGATGCTGTCTGTAATTGCTATTTTATTATGACTTCTGATCTAATGCTAAAGAGGTCTACAGAAAGAGGAAACTGGTTTGAAAATACTGTAGGAGTCCCAAAATGATTTTCATTCAACATTATACCACCATATGCAAATAAAATGTGCCCCTCCTCCTTACTTTAAATGAAATGATAGGTAAACAGCAATATTTAATCTTGAGTGTTAATGCTGTCAGATGAATCACAGACTTAGCAAACTAAACTACTATCTGTTGATCTTACAGAAAGCATTATTTCACATGCTTTTAGAATATAAAGATGTTTGAATTCACCTTTGACCTCAAATATTAATTTAAAGATTGTTACTATCTAAAATCTTCTGGCACACAGAGTTAAATAATGTTTTAAGAAGTAGAATCACAGTTCTCTCCTGGCAAAAATTTTCAAGGAAAATTTAAGTCTCTCCACCTCCCACGTGCCCATTCTTGATGTCTTCTTTTAATCTGGTTATTGAATGTTGAAGAAAATTATCTGAGCATCGGATGGCCTGGCAAAAATGGGAAGAAGTCTCCTTCACAGGACCAGCCCATCTATGTAGATAACTAAGAGTCTATATACCTTACACTAAAGGGGACGGTCTTCACAAGACTCTGCAGGGTATTTCTCTAGAATAAATCGTATTCGAAAAAAAGAATCATAATTATCAACTCACTAGGTTAAATATCTACTAGTTCTGGTTTCTGGGAAAAGATCCTTTATGCCTAGGACAACCTAAGACATGATTTGGATGAAAATGAACTATTAATACATTTGCTTTTTCCTGATACGATAAATCAGAGTGCTCTTTAAATACTAGCTCTGGGTAGATGGTTAACTGTATCAGGTTCAATTCCTTGTCTGTGATGAATAGGCCACAAAGTTGACTAATAGACTACAATTCAGCTTTGTTCCAGAGCTCCTCTTCAATGCCAAACGTGTGTACCAGCTGTTTCAATTCCTTTCTGTATTCTCTAAGTTTCCTAGCTTCTTTACTTTACCTGGACATGACATGGAAGCACTAACCCAATAATCCCCTATAAAGTGAAAGTCGGAAGAACAGATGCGTCCATTGCTGAAGCAGTTACAATACAAAAAAGTTTTACCCCATAAGAATATTCCTAAATCACTACTTGTAGTTACTAGAACAATAGAAAGAAATTCTGATGCTTTATTTATATCCAACTGAAATATCAGAATGTGTATATTATATTAATATTGATTTCTTTATCTTAGGTATGCCTTAAGTACAACTGAGAATCTGAGCTACTGATCAGGGCTATTATTGTACCTTCATAAATTAAAATTAGTCCTATCTGGTTATTACCATGAAGTTGGGTAAGGCCTGCCTGTTCCTTACCTATAAAATGAGTTTTAACTTGTCTTCACTATTTCATAACACATGGTCATGTACCACTAATTGTCATTTCCTGTCAATCCTTTTGATAAGACAATCAGACATTTTAGTTTGGAGTTCCTGTGTCTTCTCTACCACTTGGTAAATTCCCTAATAAAAGAGATGTCAGGTGAAGAACCTTCAAGTCAGCTGAAATATCTTAACATTGATTTATGTACATAGATTTTAACCATAAAAATAAATACTATTTTTGGCAAGTGATTCAGGTTTTCTATTTATGGTAGGTATGGTGGTCAGCCTCCCAGATGGCTCCCAGTGATCTCTGCCTCCTTGTATTCATGCTTTTGTGTAGTCCTGTCCCATACTAGACTAGCATTAGTCTGCATGACATTAATAAAGATGGCATGTCACATCTGAAATTAGGTTATAAAAGACATTATTGCTTCCGCATTAGTCATACACACTCTTGGATCATTTGTTCCAGGGAAAGCTAGCTGCTATATTGAAAACAGTCTAGAGGGGGTCAATGTAGTGAGGAATTGAGGCTTCCTTCTCAGAGCCATGTTAAATGAGCTTGGAAGTAAATCCTCCAGCCCCAGTTAAGCCTTCAGATGACAGCAGCCCCTACCAATAGCCTGAATGTATCTTCATTAGAGTCCTAGGACCACCCAACTAAGCTGCTTTCAGATTCCTGCCTCTCAGAAACTGTATAACATAATAAATGTTTGTTGCTTTCAGCCCCTATGTCTGGGGCTTAATTATGCAGCACCAGATTACTAATATAGTAGGAATAGTAAAGTTTTTCTTAAAAATGAGTTTTTAAGTTTTAAAAAAATGTAAGCCAAAAAAAAAAAATGTTAACAGTGATGCATGGACATAAGCAAGATCAAAGTGGTACAGGAAATGAGAGTCAGTATAGTATTGAGGTTACGGTCTTGTTTGGAGACAGCCGTGTTTGAATCTCAGCTCTGCCACTTAAAGTCTCTGAATTTCCTAGTCTGTCAAGTACAGATCGTGATAGCATCCAAGAGCTCACAAAGCCATTAAATGGTATGACATATATATAACATAGTACTTGCCACATGGTAAATTAAGGGTAGCTGATATGTATCTCCATTATTACCTGCCAATAAAGAGATTACATGTATTAATACTTTTGGGCAAAGGGAATATAAGAAAAAGGGACTTCGTGGGCTGGGAAACGAAGATCGCTGATACAGTATACACGGAAAGAAATGGAGCTACCCATCGTTCTGTTCTGTATGCAGAAAAGTGACTCCCAGAATAATGAATTAAAAAGAAAACAAAATTTATCCTTGATCTGGGTTTCATGGAGAATAAATAAGTAAAACCCTAAGAATAGCTAAATGTTTGGGTATTTATTATACTATCCCAACTTTGGGGGATAACCCATAATGTCTAGCAGGTATTAAAATGGAGTGCTAAGTATAGCACTTAAGATAAAGATGCTTGTACGATTTGCATAACTGTTTAAGACAGTGCTCCAAAATACGTATCTAGGCTTTAAAGTGTGTTTCCATTGTGTCTGGATAGGAAACACAGAAGACCTGCTATGAGTTAGGTTATTAAGGGATTATAGAATTTTAGAGCTGGAAAGCCTTTGAGAATATTAAAATCCAAATAAAGGAGGAAACAAAATGATTTACTTAACATATTCGACACTTAAATCCTTTCTTACTAATCATGTAATTTAATGATATTTTACTGAAATAGTTAAATGATAAACATTTTGAAATAGTACAATTAGTAATCAATTAAATTTTACCTGAAAAACAAGAATTTAATTTTAAAGCAGGGATTAAGCACACAGGGCACACGGCCTATAGTGGCCTTGTATATGGGGGATATATTTAGCTTTGTTTTCTGTTTTAATTGTATTTGGATGCTTTCAGGTAGGGCATGTATACACACTCTAATAGCAATACCTAACCTTCTTTGCCCAACTGTGTTATATTTGGCCAGAATGACATATAGTTGGTCCCTATAAGCATTTGAATTTGTAGCTCTGTTTTAAAGAATGATTTTAGTTAAAATGGAGGAAAATGAGAAGTATTTTAAAATTTTATTTATTTATTTTTTGAGATAGGGTCTCACTCTATCACCCAGGCTGGAGTGCAGTGCTGCAATCATACCTCACTGCAACCTCGGACTCCTGGGCTCAAGTCAACCTCCTGTCTTAGCCTTCTGAGCAGCTAGGACTAGAAGTGCACACTACCATGTCCAGGTAGTTTTTAAAAATTTTTTGTTGACACGGTCTCGTTGTGTTGCCCAAACTTGTCTCTAACTCCTGGCCTCAAGTGATCCTCCCGCCTGGGCCTCCCAAAGCGCTGGGATTACCAACATGAGCCACCATTCCTGGTCTTCCTTACTTATTTATTCACTTTTAAGAGGCAGGGTCTCATTCCTGTCACCCAGGCTGGAGTGCAGTGGTGCCGTCATAGCTCACTGTAGGATTCTTTTAATACCTATTCTTTTAAAAACTCCACTGTCTCATTCTGAATTTCACTGTCAAAAATCAACTTGTCAGTATTACACATTATATACCATATGGATGCTCCTTGACTAACAACGAGGTTACATCCCAATAAATCCACTATAAGTCAAAAGTGTGTCTTCAACTTAAGATATTTTCAATGTATGATGGGTTTATCTGTAGGTAACCCCATTGTAAGTCAAGAAGCATAATGAATGCGTATAAAGTTGAAAAATCCTAACTTGGAGGATCTGTATTATATTACTATTATCACTGAATTTACACAGAGGAAATACATAAGCAGTTAAGAAGTGCTGAATAAAGTAAAGTGAGAACAAGAAGAGGCTTTCTCCTTTTGTATATCTGTTAAATAACATCCACTTTGTTAGGGGTGTGGTACTAAGCAGGCGTGGGTTTTACTTATAACTCAATAGGTGGGAGCTACTACCCTGGTCATAGCTGGCATCCTTGTAGTCTGTGTGAGGTAACATGAGTAATTTTATAGTTTGCTAATGTATTAACAAGTAATCCAAACAAAAGAAGATGACTCATCTAATGCTCAAGAATATGCAAACACAACTCTAGCCAAATAACAATAATCCTCATACAGTGAATGAGTAATTGTATTTCTTTAAAAATTAATATAATCAGAGCTTCAGGTAATATGTTCAGGCCACACTGTCTTTAACTGCTTTATATATAACTAAATGGCATGACTTTTTCCCAAGAGGATTCACTGGTAATATTAGAAAATTTCAGAATCCCTTCCAGTGACAATTTTCTATGGAATGAATTTCTCCTTCTTCAGGGAGAAAATGCCATTGCCCTGTCATCACTCTGAATCCACAACAAGGGTAAAGTTTGTATTAGTGAAGTCGCCTTCTCTAAAATACCTTCTTTCTTGACCTCATCGGGCAGAGTTTATCACTTCCTCCTCTGTATTATAATCTCTGTACCTCGTAATTGTTAACTCGTCTTTCACTTTAGTAGACTGAGGGCAGGGATTGGATCTTAATGGTATTTGTACCACTGGTGCCCTGGCTTAATAGAAAAACAATGAATGAAATGAATGTGTTTTATCTCCTCTCACACTTCCCACTGTCAGTCATTTATGCCAGACTGGTATAGTTGACAGCTATGAAACCAACTAGCTTGTGGGAATCAAAGCTCATAATTCTAACACAATGACCATTATGTTACTGCCCAAACTTAGCACCATCACTTCACATTATAGCACTGTCTTACATTGTTACCTTCTGCTCCCTGACCAAACTCTCTTGCATCAATTTATACTTTACTGTTTTATTCTAGTTCTGCATGTGTGTGTTTAAAATACCCTCCTCTCCCCTCTTAACTGACATCTGCCTTAATGGGCTTTGCATATAATGAGAATTTCAAAATCCATTCTGAGAAATGGGAACCAAATAGAGGGAAAATAAAACTCTTCAAAACACACACTACCTTCCACTGCTCTTTTGAAGAATACTTTACAGCTTCCACAAGTCAAGACTCCATAATGACATCCTGAAGCTTCATCAGAGCACACCAGGCAGAGTTTGGGAGGTGGTCCCGTTGCTGTTGAAGAGCTAGATGGAGGAGAGCTTACATCTGGTCTCAGTCCGGGGCTAGAGAAGGAGAAAAACAGTGTTGGGATTTAACTGTCATGACTATCAAAGGAGAATCAAAATACAGTTCTCTTAGTTTCTCACTCCACAGTCAGCATGGTCACACTGAACTCTGGCTTCAGGTACTACCAGGCACTAACATGTCCCATCTACACATACTCAAATAGTGTTATATTCTTCTTTTATACAAAATTAAGAATGAAGTCATTTCTTCTGAAGTGTCCCCAAAATGGAATGATGAGGTTGTGGTTTATGTAGCAATTATCATTTTTAGTTGCTTGGGCTTTATTTTTATAATCACCGTTATTAAGGTGTCACTTACATACAATAACATTTATTATTTTCTAAGTGTATAATTCATGAGTTTTGTTACATAGTCATGTAACTACCACCACGATGAAGAGAGAGGGTATTTCCATCACCCCAAAAAGATGCCTCCTACCCCTTTAATTGCTTAGGACATCGATTTTTTTCCCCTCATTTTAAGATCTTATATAGGCATCTTTCTAAATACAATCGAGTCTCATTACAGTTATGCCCACGTCTTCTATTAAAGAGTCAAAATCGTTTTACAGTCTTAGAGTGTGGTCCTACATCTCTCATTCCTAATGTCATCCTAGCTGAAACCACAATTTCTTATGACTTAGAAAAGACTAATCCAGATACATTACTTTTATAAACTTCCTGTCTGGCTTGCAATAAGACTGGATAAAGCTAGTCTTTCAACAGCGAGGACCACTCTGCCCTCTCCACTGAATGAAAATACACCTTGAGGACAAAGATGAAAAATGTGAATCTGCTTCTCTTTTCATTTTGTAAACTTCTCACTACAAGAGTACAGGTAGGTTTAGTGTTTAATAGTGTTTAAAAGATATATAATTTGTTGTTTTGAAAATTTTCAACCCTCAGAAAAAGTGAAAGAATTGTGCAATGGATATTTACTTTTTACCTGTATTTACCAATTCTTAACATTTTGCTACATTTGCTCATAAAAATGTACTTTAATAAACCAATGAAACAGTGATCCTTTTAATACTGGAGGAAAAATTAATTACTGCATTTCATATTGGATGATATCATGATTTCTAATATTGTATCTTCCTAAGGAATTTTCATGCTGACTTTATTTTTTTATTTATTTTTCATTTCAGCATCTTACGGGAGTACAAATGTTTAGGTTACACACATTGCCTTTGCCCCACCTGAGTCAGAGCTTCAAGCATGTCCATCCCCCAGATGGTGCACACTGCGCCCATTAGGTGTGAATATACTCATGCCCTCCTCCCACCTGCCTGACACCTGATGAACAAGCGCCACATGTGCTCACCATCAAATTGGTATTAACTGATCAATACTTATGTGCACATACAGTAGTAACATTCATATACCACGTTTTATTAATCCTCTCATGTATTGATGGGCACTTGGGTTGTTTCCACATCTTTGCAATTGTGAATTGTGCTGCTATAAACATTCTAGTGCAGATGTCTTTTTTATAGAATGTCTTTTGTTCCTTTGGGTAGATCCTCAGTAATGGGATTGCTGGATCAAATGGTAGCTCTGCTTTTAGCTCTTTGAGGTATCTCCACATTACTTTCCACAGAGGTTGCACTAGTGTGCAGTCCCACCAGCAGTGTATGAGTGTTTCTATCTCTCCGCATCCACGCCAATATTTATCGTTTTGGGAGTTTTTGATAAAAGTCATTCTCACTGGAGTTAAGTGATATCTCATGGTGGTTTTGATTTGCATTTCCCTGATGATTACAGAGGTTGAACATTTTTTCATATGTTTGTTGGCCATTAGTCTATCTTCCTTTGAAAAGTTTCTGTTCATGTCCTTTGCCCATTTTTTAATGGGTTGTTTGATTTTTTTGAATTCCATATAGATTCTAGTTATCAGCCCTTTATCAGATATGTAGCATGTGAATATTTTCTCCCATTCTGTAGATTGTTTGCTATTGTGATAGTTAACTTGGCTATGCAGAAGCTTTTTAATTTGATCAGGTCCCATTTATTTATTTTTGTTGCTGCTGTGATTGCCTTTGCAGTCTTTTTCAGGAATTTTCATGCTGACTTTAGAACAAAACTGTATTATGTATTAATAGCTAAAAAGAATTTCTATCCTTCTGCTTATAGTTAAAAAGACTGCCCATTCCTTTTTTGATCATGTGTTCTTAAGCAGACCTTCAAAAATATGAACAGTAGCAGCAACCTGTTGATTTTGCAACTCTACATATTAAAGAATGTTTATCACCTATACAACAAAGTTCATAACCATATCATTACCTCTCTTAGAACTTTTAATTTGTTCTCTAAAAGAGATGGCATTTAGGAATAAACTTAGATTGGGTGTTATCTCTTTGTCAGCCTTTATTATTGCTTGCTTTTGTTTATGTCAGCCAATAACAGTACGAAATCTCAGTTACAAACATGTTTAAACTAATTCACAGAGCAAACTAACAAGATATTGTTTTAATTATCAATCTGGTTAGAAATTATATTTATAAAGTAATAACTTTTTTGTTGTTCTGTTTAGGAATGAAAGTTAAAAGGTAATAATTGTAGAATGATGACTTCACTTATAAATGTTAAGTAATTAAGCCACTAAACCCAAAACCTCCACCTAAATTATCTTCACAGGGAGCTTCCTGAACCTTGCAAACTGTCTGCTTATCTAAGAGGCTTAGTCAACAGGACAGCGTTCCCACCACCCCAATTCTGAGAATAGGCCCCAGGGCTTCACATTGTTCTCTGAACACTGTCAAGAAGAATTTCTTGATGTTTCCGTATCACAAGGCATTGATTACCTGCTAGATTTGGGCAAGTGGACTGACTATTTATTGAAAGCCTATAATAAACCAGAATAACCTGAAATGACTCTGCTATAGATCTGGCACAAGCCACCACTGATTAATGGAAACTGGTGACTAATGTAGAAGAGCTGCTTTGGGCCAGAGTTTTACAGAGAAGTAGGAAGGTCCTGGAACAGTGAACAGAACGGTAATGTGTTGGGGAAGCATAAACTTCCCTGGCTTCTGTTCTGAAGATGCTCCTATTCCTGCTCAGCCAATCTCTGTCACCTGACATCTATTTTTAGGGACTAATCAGTTGCTTGTATATTTAGTTTATGGAAAATGAGTACATAATTTAAAGGTCTGAAAGGTAATTCTGTAATGTTTCCTCAACCAGTTTTATACACACACACTGTATGTATTTGGATTTTAAATAGTACTTTATAGTACTTTATAGTTTTAGCTCTCAACCCTGTGCAAAGATGTCATCACTCTTCCTGAGGTCGTGCAGGCAGTGGCAGGTGGTTGATTAGGGATCCTATCTGTGGTTAAACTGACCTGTTTCAGATCCCAGCTGTTCAGACCCCACTTAACAGCTTCTGTGGCCCTTGGTAGAGGTATCTACTACTTGGAGCCTCAGTTTCCACATCAATAAACTAGGAAGGACATCACCTGTGTGTATGTGTTGTGAAAATAAGATACCAAAGCAAGTCTAGTACATAGTTCCTGCATCTAGCAGGTAGTCGATACATGCTCATTCTTTTCCCTCCTAGGAAAACTGAAGATTTTATGAATAAGCATTACATAAGTAAGTGGAAGGTAGTATTAAGTCTAAAACCTAGGGCAGTATTCCCAAATTCTCACTTACATGTTAGAACATACGCAAAACATGTTTAGGCCACTCAGCTGTGAGCTACAGGTAACAAAAGGGAAAGTAAAAACTAAATGAACAAATGGATTGATAGAACAGTAGCTAAGAATCTGGACCCTAAGTCAGGCTTTTGGCATGCCTTCAGGCAGTGATTCTGGGCTACATCAGATAAGAACTGAGTACATGGAAAGCTGCCAGGTGTACCACAGACATCAATGGAAAAAAATCAGTTTTTGTCACACAAATATGAGGATTATGATGACTTATAACGAACACCACTGGAAGAAATGGATGAATGCTAAATGATATTCGGTTGCAGATGTGACCCTGTGATATTGCTATAAGGACTGGGGTACAACAGAATGGTTAGAACTCAAGGAAAACCATATGGAATTGCCATCTTTTATTAAGGATACATGGCAGAAGAAATGAAAAGTATACTATAATAAAAGTGCATATTTCACCCCCTTTAAATGGGAAAGCTAAAATGTCTGGGTCTTAAGGGCATCATTATCTGTAATAGTAACTGATCAATGTGTGTTTACAGCTGTGCCAAACGTTCTGAAGATGCTAAGAAGTTCAGAAGTTCCATTATGAACTGACTATACTAGGATGTTTTCTTTTAAGTGAGGACAAAATGGTTGTTCCAGGTGAATACTTGAATGCTGTTGGTTCCCAGTGAGAATGGCAAGTGTGCTAGACACTGAGTCAGTCATTCCTGAGGCTACTGAGTTTACGTTAGAATTGAGACAGACAAAAACATGCATAAAGCTGAGTATTTCTATTTAATTTTCTTGCAAGAAATGCAATTGATGAAAGGAGGATCATGGATAAAACAGTCATGGACATTATGAAAGTTAATCATATAGCTTGAGAAGCATGTAAAATATGTAGGTAAATTCCATTCATTTGTTCAGCAGACACTTCTGGCACCTGAATGCCAGGCACTGTGAGGATACAGAGGTCATATCATACTTGAAATGATAATGAAACTTTGATCTACGAAGGAATAGCAGAATATTTTTTAGCTGCCTCCTGTGTCACAATACTACTAGAAAGAGAATCAGCTGTACAGACACGGGTTTGAATCCTAGCTCCAGTGCTCTAATAGCTGTGTGACGGTGGCTAGTTGACTTAACCTCTTTGAGTCTGTTCCCTCATTAATACCATTTTTAGGGGGTCTTATGTAAATCATATAGTAGAGTTATTAATATATAAAGCACTGGTACATACTAGGTGATCGTCAAGCAATAGGTCTTTACGCTACCCTTTTTATCTACTCCACCCACCCCTAACTCCTCCTTCCCTCCTGGAGAATCCCAGAGAAAGAGGGTGCT